GCGACTGAATACGCAAATGCTATCACGTATTCTAAACAATCCTCCGTATAAAGGCATTTCAGATGTACTTTATATGTCACATGCACAAATGTAGCATGTGTTTTGATGAATTTAATTTTCTTGCATAGAGATGTATTAATTAGAAATTTAAAGGTTTTACTTACAATGATTATAATTTAGAACATAAAATGAAATTATCAAATGGAATATTTTGCTGGGTTAACCATGTCATCATTATGCAAGAAGCAACAAGAAACACAAACACACTTTATAAACACTTTCAAAAACATTAATTGTCACAATCAGACAGTAAAAGTTGTGCATAGTCATTAAATAAGACAATATAACTTTTGGACATAAGCTGATGTTTGATTTACATTTTTGGATAAAAATGCTATAGTTTTCCTTGGAACGTTCATAAGCACACGAAGCTTGGTATTTATGTTCTTTTAACAGAATCGAACCTCCACCATCAGTTTCGCCAATGCAAAAATAATTATAGTACATACAATAAATAATATAGACATATACAATGGATATAAATTAATTTTAAATTTTAAAATTTTAATTCTAAATCAAGAAAACATAATTTTGACTATGTTTAAACAAAAGTTTACAATGGGGTTAAATTTCTAAATAATCAAATTTCAATTTATTAAGTCGAATCCAGAATATGTACATAATGTTTTTAAGTTCTAACTCGGAGACACCAACTGAGTTTAGAATATTGTTGAAAATATGCACACCAAGAACAAATATTTACTTTAAGTTATGTGTGTTGCCTTCTTCTAATCTGTTATCATTCTATCATTTTCAAATTATATCTTTGTCAAAAACGGTCTATGAATAATTTTATACTCTGCTGCAGAAAACCTTTAGAAGACTTTAAAGAAACAATCAGAAGTTAGAATGCTCAAGTAGAGCTTGACATAAATGTTTTTAAAGTAATAGTGCTTTACCAAATAGCTTTAGTTGAGGTGAATTATATTCTCAAATAGCTATAGTTGAGGTGAATTATGTTCTCAAATAGCTATAGTTGAGGTGAACTATATTATCTTATAATAAGTTCGTTAAATGGATAAAACATCTGCTAATTACAAGATTATTCTATTTCGGACCTGGCATGGCCTGGTGGTTAGGACATTCGACTCGCAGTCTGTGGGTCTCGCGTTTGAGTTCCCGTCATCGAAAATACTCGCCTTTTCAGATGTGGGAGCGTTATAATGTAACGATCACTATCATTGTTCATTAGTAAAAAAAAAAGAGTAATCCAAGAGTTGACAATGGATGGCGTTGAATAATTGTCTTCTCTATAGTCTGTCATTGATAAGTTAAGGATGGCTAGCTCAGCTAGCCCTCGTGTAGCTTTGTACGAAACTCGAATGAAACCAATTCTTCAATTTCAGTTTGTAAGGAAGAGAAATGTTATATGCGCACTTTAAAAAAGTTCTAAAGAAATACAGTTATGAGTTTCCAGCACTTATATTTTTATTGTGATTGCTACTTGAAAGTGGAAGTTCACTATATAGTATTGACTTTAAGTGAAATACACGTTTGCACAACTGAAACTATTCGTGGATATCACAGACGATAGCTTCAATTGTTGACCTATTGACGAACCTGTGCTATTATAAGCTGAAAATCTTAACTCGTAAAATTTTAAGTTAAGTTTTATATTTATATTTTGAAATAGCTACAAAAGTCTCACGCTCTTCTTAAAGGTAGTAATATATATATATATATATATATATATATGTAACTTTGGAAGCTTATTTTCCATACATGTTTATGCACAAACAAGAACATCACACAATACCACCTTTCATCATGATTTCAACATCTGGGCTATTTTACTGCTACTGGTTGTTAGCGTAGCCACACTTACCTTTAACCTAAACTTTAAACACATAACAGATGCAAGAAAACTTTCCGTAGTTCACATAAGACTTTGAGCTTACAATTTGGTCTATTAAATGTTAAAATCAACTAATATATCATGCTTATAATTTTGCTGCTTATAATTATTACAATAGTTTGTTTGTTTGTAATTAAGCACAAAGCTACACAATGGGCTATTTGTGCTCTGCCCACCACGGTATCGAAACCCGGATTCTAGCGTTGTAAGCCCCTGGGGCATTATAATAGTTTCACTCTGTTACAACGGAGTAGTTACTTATTCCAGGGCTCGGCATAGCCAGGTGGTTAGGGCGCTCGACTCGCAATCTGCGGGTCGCGGGTTCGAATCCCCGTCCCACCAAACATGCTCGCCCTTTCAGCCGTGGGGGCGTTATAATGTGACGGTCAATCCCAATATTGGTTGGTAAAAGAGTAGCCCAAGAGTTGGCGGTGGGTGGTGATGACTAGCTGCCTTCTTACACTACTAAATTAAGGACGGCTAGCGCAGATAACCCTCGTGTAGCTTTGCGCGAAATTCAAAACAAACAAACAAACTTATTCCAGCTAAAGAATGAGAATATGATAGTGTAGCTGGAAAACACAGATCAACTTGCTTTACTATTCACAAACTTTCATTAGTTTTATTTGATTTAATCAAGAAAAAGGAAGAAAATGTATCTTTACTAAGTTACGCACAAATATACAAATGTCCTAAAATAAAGAATATTAAAATATTGGTATTACACTTTCACACACAACTTATAGTAAATTACTTACAACAGGTAGTTGAAATACACAAGACTAAAGTATTAATTTAATTATAATTTTTTTTCACCCAGTTATAACATTTCGTAGAAATTAACTAGCAAACACAACGATATTGTAAACTAATACAGAATGTGCATAAAATACTTATCTTAAAGTGTATCGGCTTGTTTTGGATTGGTTTGTTTGTTTGTTTATTTGTTTTGTCGGTAACAAAAAATGAACGATTAAGTTACATATCAAGCGTATGAAGCTAGAACGCTGAAATCCAGGGTCCGATTTAATGTGGCGGGCAAAGCACAGATAGCCCATTTGTAGCTCTACGATAAAGTAGGAGCAACAACAGTTCTAGTTTTTTATTCCAACTTTGGTGACGGATAGAAGAATCAGATTGATGTCTTATAGCTCATATTAGTGCATAGAAATTCTGAAACAGTAGCCTCATGAAGAACAGAGGTAAAATGAATACATGTCATTGTAAATTTACTGTAACAGATGAGCTCAGTGAAGGGACCAGTCATTTGGGTTCGACTTTTCATGAGTCACAAATGAATTTATTTAAAACTCCAAAAGACAGTGGTGTTGTAGCTTGTTTGTTTGTTTGTTTGTTTTGG